CAAACAACCTCTTTATTTCACCCTAAATCTTATGCATTGTCTCTGATGCAGGTTCTGTCATTTGCATCATTACTTGGAGCAATATTCTGCTTCACTTCATTTTGCTTTAAGAGCCTATATGCTTTCTTGGCTCTTTTCTCAATAGGAGAGCTGCTGGTATTTGCCACTCAGGTAAATTTTCTATTGAATGAATCTCGTCAATATCACATGTAATCTGTCAGTCTGATCATAGATATGTTGCTAAATTTGTTATAAATTTGAGTTGTATAATTATACAATTGAGGATACAGTACATAGGTTTATAAATTTTCTTTGTTGCTGAAGATGGTAATTTTAAGCTAGATTTATTTTTATTCTTTTCCACCATTCGAGTTTGCTAGCATATCTGTCCAAGAAGCTTCATTTTTCTATTCATATGTCGCCATATAGGGCAATGATTATTTTTGAGTTTGCAAGGTCAAATGAGCTTGAAATATGGGGCTTGGCATACACTTGGTAATGCAAAAATCTTTTTATTTTGTTGACTTGAAGTCACCGTTTCCTTTTGTAGATCGACATTATCATCAGCTACTGCTATTTATATTTCGGTTATTGTCGATACTAGTTCGCACTAATACATCATATTGCCACTGCAGGGCCCTGTAAATTTTGTGTGCCTACATTCTGTCAAGCCTAGTTTGAGACCATTATCTATGGCTATATCGACTGTTTCAATTCACATTTTTGGTGATGTGCCTTCTTCTCCTCTTGTTGGGCTTATTCAGGTTCGCTAATCAGCTTCTGTAATTGATTATTATCTACTCCTTTGTTCTTCCTCAAGACTGTCAACAGTCATTACTTTCGTTTGGTAGTTTTGTAGGGGTTCTTATATCGCGTTAAATTGTTGCAACATACCACTGTTCAAAAGAAAATATCGAAATTTTTTTTTTTTTTTTATAACTTGTCCTGTTAGACATGCAATAGAAACAGGGAAAAAAAAAAAAAATAGAAAAAAGAGCTTTACCCTGGTAGACTTCTCGTGTGAAATTACTTATCCTAATATTATATGATATTCTCCTGATCAAGATTACTTTCTGCAGGATCGTATTAACAATTGGAGGGTAACCGCTCTTATTCTAACATCCATTCTATTTCTGGCAGCTGGAATATGGTTTATTGGTAAAGATTTTACAGTTTACTTCCATGTTTCACCATATTAGGACAGTAAGAAAAGTTGATGGCCGAGATATTAGGCATTTCCAAGGCGAAGTTTGTATCTGTCATTTCGTTAAACGCCACCTGCTTGTCACTATGAAATTTAGCCCATCTTTACTATTCTTTTTTCTATTTCTCAGTTCGGAATTATCTATATGTTAATTGAGTAAATATGTAGACTACTGAATTAAAGTTTGTGCTTTTTGGCAGGAGTGTTTCTTCATAGCGTAGACAAGTTCAATGAAGACAGCAATCATCCCCTTACTACAGTTGATAAGGGGGCCATAACTCCATTGCTCGAAGAGAATAGAATGGAAGAGACAGCATGACCTTTTTGTTGAATGCAGTAGATGAATTTCTGTCTTTGATACTTATCATGGGATGTAAATAACATCACGTTCCAAAATGTTCATATGTTTGTAATATTATCCTGAGAAGGAAACACAGAATCTTGCCATGCTAATGTTTATGCATATTTTACCGGTTTTATTTCATGTTTGATATGTTTGAAATATGATGCTTAGGTAGTTAAACAGCAAAAGCTTGCCAGCGCACATAGAGAGTGAGTCATCCAACGCAGAAAATACAAATAGCACATAACTTGCATCTCAAAAACAAATATTTAGACTGATAAATGGTAAAAAATCCCGCAGCTAGAGACATGTTTTGTATACTAGATGACTTAACGGTAGAATAAGCAAAATTTTTGCTTCTTTCTACGTACCAAACTCGCCACAAAACACGTATAGAAGTGAGAGCTCACCAGGAGAAATGGATCTTGTCACAAGTTTAGCCCAAGACTCGTTGGTTTCGGTGATAACCTTGAGAGCATAATCCTGCAATTGTAAAAGAAGAATGATTGTAATATAGTGGTCCAACTGCGTTTATCATTAAGGGGGGACAGAATGAATAATGATATTGTGAAATGAAATTTAAAACAGCATCAAACAGAAATTTTGGTTAGTAACAGGATACCTTGCTTGCTGCCTTGTTACCAAGACCAAATTTATTAGCAGGTTTGCCATCAGGGATTTTGTAGTCTCTAAACCAGTCTCTGATTGCAGTAAGAGTTCCCTGAAGAAAATCATTCGAGTAGAATTCCAAATAAAATAAATGTCAAGAAACAAACACATAAAGTGATAAAACTTCAACTCAATCTACAAGAAGCATGATTTAAAATAGAAAATAAAAATAAAATCCTTCATACCGTGATTAGATCGCTAAATATTCCATTTCTTGAGATATTTATACAAAGTCATCAAAGTGAATACTCGGTACTCTTCGGGAAAACCAACCACACATAATAAGCTGTTAAATCTATCACAGAACATTTCAAGTATCAGCTCAGGTTTTTGTAATTTTTATAAATAATGATACACAAATTAGGCATAACATACCGGGAAATGCTTCTCAACATCGTCAATGTCACTGACAAGGGAAGCACTTGGATCATCTGTAGCAACCTCCATCTTCGCACTTGATTCTTTCGGACTTTCAACAATGAAATTGAATACATCATTGCCCAAGTGCAAAGGTATATCATGCCAAGGGGAAATCTGCACATCCAACAAAAAAAGAAAAAAAGAAAAAAAAGTACCTTAGAGTGATGAAGTAGCATCAGCATTTAACTTAAATCTCAAAACAATACACGATGTGAATATGAGGCCATTTTGTATGACATTAACTCTGGTTCCTTCCTTCTTATTTTATGCACAGCAAAAACACAGAACTCTTTTCTGTATTGACACCATTTGCAAATTCAAAAAAAAAATAAAAAAAATAACAATAATAAATAAATAAAAATCCTTTTTCCTCTCGAGAAGGTAAATTTCAACAAGTCCAAATTTAAAAGAAAGGAAATATGAAATGTTGTCATATTTGTCTTTACGTCAATAGATATGCTACATCAATATCATTCTTTTCCCCAGAAATTTTTGTTGGAAATTGGTTTCCAAATTAACATGAAAGATCGGAAATTGGTTAAGTAAAAATTGAAATCGGAAAGTTGACTAACGTGTCAATTTCGACCGAATATTCGGATTTGATCCGATAGTCAAATTATAAAAGTAAAAAGGCCAACTTGTTCTACTCATCGAGTAGATGATCCTAGTATATTTGGACATTAGAAACCAATTCCGGGTGAACGAGAAATTGTAGTCCAAAAATTGGAGGAAAATATGGTGGAAAAGGGCTAAAATACACCATCGCTTGATGTTCGCTCGAGCGACAGCATCGCCGTCGTTCGATGTTCGCTCGAGCGAAATTCGAGCTAAAAGCGAGCGAAGTATGTTCTACTCGAATTTTTGAAGCGCTGCTCGAGCGAAAAGCTAGTGAAGATGGAATGTTGCAACTATTTGAAAGATTACACGATTTGACCCACACCACTTCATCCACACCCCTTCCTCCTCTATAAATAGGACCCCTTGGACGTCCCAAAGGGTACACCAATTCATATTTTACATTGAGCACTCTTCTTCTCTTACAAAATCTCTCCCCCTTTTTCTTGCATAAAATCCCTTTGTAGAGGGGGAAATTCCGTAAGTTCGCCGGTTCTTGCGGTGTGAAGTACTGCTACCACAAGATTAAACATCTATTGTATCTTGGGAGACAAGTACCGTCAATCGTGAGCACCATAACGGGGCAATATTGTCTTAAGGAGAAAGTGTCTTCACTTGCCTCGGATTTCATTTCTTTTTCTTCTCCTTTTCTTGTTTCATTTTTTATACCTTGATTTTCTGGTTTTGTGCTACACTTTCAAGTTCACATATCGATAGTTTGATCACGCTCTTGTGGGTTAAACATTAATTTGTTTTGATACAAACACCAACAACTATCATACCGCTCACATAAACCCCGGAACTAACAATCTTAAGACAATATTTGTCGGTGGTTGTTTTGGTTTTGGTTTTGGTTTTGGTTTAACCCATACTTTGTTCTTCATTTTGGAATAGTCTTTGTGCACTATTCCTTTCCCTTACTTTGCGTTGTGATAATTTTCTATTTTTGTAATAGAAATGAGTACTGTAGAGGCTTCAAGTCAAAACGATACAAATATGGTTACGCTTATGGCTATAAACACTTCAATCCCGTATGGTGAAAAATTGAAAAAATTTAGTGGCGTGGATTTTGAAAGATGGCAACAAAAGATGTTATTCTATCTCACTACCCTCAATTTGGCAAAGTTCCTAAAAGAGACTGTGCCATCCGTACAAGAGGGAGAAAATAATCGTGAGTCGATTATTGCGTTGGATGTATGGAAGCACTCGGACTTTCTACGGAAAAATTACATTTTGACTGGGTTGGACAATACACTATATGTGGTGTATAGTTCTAAAAACTAGGCCAAGGAATTGTGGGATTCTTTGGAAAATAAATACAAGACCGAGGATGCTGGAACCAAGAAGTTCATTGTGGGCAAGTTTTTGGACTACAAAATGGTAGATACCAAAACTGTGATAAACCAAGTGCAAGAAATTCAAGTCCTCTTGCACGACATACATGCCGAAAAGATGGAACTAAGTGAATCCTTTCAAGTGGCTGCCATCATCGAGAAACTCCTTCCTATATGGAGAGATTTCAAGAACTATCTCTAGCACAAACGTAAGGAGATGAATTTGGAAGCATTGATCGTCCGCTTGAGAATTGAAGAAGACAATAGGAAAAATGAAAGGAAACCTATTGACCAACTTGGAGCAAACTTTGTTGAAATAGAACAAAGGTCTTTGAACAAGAAACGAAAGATCTCAAACGATGCACCGCGTAGAGATAACTCCGAGAAGGCGAAAAAGTTCAAAGGGAAATGCTATAATTGTGGAAAGGCTGGACATCGTTCAAATGAATATCAAAAGCCTAGAAAACCTGCTCAAGCCAACATGATTGAGAAGGACAACCTTTCCGAAGGAATGTATGAAATGAGTTTATCTGCAGCTGTGTCCGAATGCAACATGGTTGGAAACACAAGGGAATGGTGGGTAGATTCCGGTGCAACCCGTCATGTGTGTGCTGATATAGCAATGTTCTCCAACTATCAAGAACTGAAAGGGGAAAAGCTATTCATGGGGAACGCTGTAAGTTTCAAGATTGAAGGACAAGGCAAAGTCACTTTAAAGATGACATCTGGAAAAGAATTAGTCCTCAATAACATCCTACATGTGCCGGATATTCGAAAGAATCTTGTGTCCGAATCTCTTCTTAGTAAAAATGGTTTCAAACTTGTATTTGTATCCGATAAATTTGTGTTGTCTAAGAATGAGATGTATGTAGGAAAAGAATATACGTGTGACGGAATGTTCAAGATGAACATTCTAACTATTGTACTGAAACAAAGCATTATGAATAAAGTAACAAATTCTGTTTACTTGCTTGAGTCTTGTTTATGGCATAAACGATTAGGACATGCGGATTATAATTCGTTGTGCAAACTTATAAATCAAAGTTTAATTCCGGCGCTTGAAATTAATCCTAATCACAAATGCGAAATATGTATTGAAGCAAAATTGGCTAAAACACCGTTCTATTTAATCAAAGGAACACGGTACCTCTAGAATTAATCCATAGTGATATATGTGATTTGGAATTTGTTCAAACTAGAGGCGGTAAGAAATACTTTGTAACTTTTATCGATGATTGTACAAAGTATTGTTATGTCTTTCTTTTAAGAAGCAAAGACGAAGTCGTAAATGCATTTAAACAATATAAGGCTGAAGTTGAAACGCAACTTGACAAATGAATTAAAAATATTCGTGGTGATCGAGGAGGTGAATATGGGCACCGTTTGAAGAATTATGTTCTGAACATGGAATCATTCATCAAACAACGGCTCCATACTCTCCTTAATCGAATGAAATTGCCGAACGCAAAAATCGAACTCTTAAAGAGATGATAAATGCGATGTTAATAAGTTTGGGTTTACCTCAGAACTTGTGGGGGGAGGCTATCTTAACTGTAAATAGGCTTCTCAATCGGATACCGTTTAAGAAAATGGAAGAGACACCATATGAGTTATGGAAAGGTCATTCCCCTTCCTACCAACACTTAAAAGCATGGGGGTGTTTGGCAAAGGTTGAAGTACCCAAGCTTAAACAAATTAAAATTGGTCCCAAAACGATCGATTGCATATTTATTGGATACGCCAATAATAATAGTGCATATTGATTCCTAGTACATAATCCGATATTCAAGATGTACACGAGGGTACCATAATTGAATCAAGGAATGCAGTATTCTTTGAAAACATATTTCCTTACAAAGATAGGGAAACGTCAAGTTCAAATAAGAGAACTTATAAATCTGCAAATGGATCTTCAAATAAGGAAGAACCAAGGCACAGTAAGAGGGCTAGAACATCCACATCATTTGGTCAGCATTTTCTAACTTATATGGTAGAAAATGATCTAAGGACTTACGAGGAAGCGATGTCTACCCTAGAAGCACCGCATTGGAAGGAAGCTATCAATAGCGTGATAGATTCCATAATGCAAAATCATACTTGAGAATTGGTAGATTTACCTCTCGGAAATAAGCCTTTAGAGTGTAAATGGGTATTCAAAAAGAAATTGAAACAGGATGGATCCATTAACAAATATAAGGCTAGATTGGTTGCCAAATGATATAGGAAAAAAGGACTTGATTTCTTTGATACCTACTCACCCGTAACGAGAATCACCTCGATAATTACAATTACGGCAATACATAACCTTGAGATTCATCAAATGGATGTAAAAAGGGCATTCATAAACGGTGAGTTAGAAGAGGAGATATATATGAAACAACCTGAAGGGTTCGTGTCTCGAAATGAAAGCCATAAAGTATGTAAATTTGTTAAGTCCTTATATGGCTTAACACAAGCTCCTAAGCAATGACACCAAAAGTTTGACAAAACAATGTTGTTGAATGGATTTAAAATAAATGAATGTGACAAGTGTGCATATGTGATGAATACACCGAATGCCTATGTGATAGTTTGTCTATATGCAGACGATATATTGATAATGGACAATAGTCATGAAATGTTGACAAACACCAAGAAAATGCTAATAAGGCATTTTGACATGAAAGACATGGGTGTGGCAGATGTAATACTAGGGATAAAAATCTCTAAAACATCGGAAGGAATCGCACTTTCCCAATCTCATTACGTTGAGAAAATATTTAAGAAGTTTGAAGTATTTCAGGAAAGTCCTGCAAAGACTCCTGTTGACATAAGTCTACACTTGGTAAAAAATAAGAGAGAAAGTGTGTCACAACTAAGATATTCACAAATAATTGACAGTCTAATGTATGTTACAAACTGTACTCGATCGGACATTGCATTTGCGGTGAATAAACTTAGTATATTCACGAGTAATTCAAGCCATGATCATTGGGTGACATTGATAAGGGTCCTTAGGTACTTGAAGTATACCATGACCTATGGATTACATTTCACAAAATATCCTGCGGTATTAGAAGGATATTGTGACACGAATTGGATATCCAATATGAAGGATTCCAAATCCACAAGTGGTTATGTGTTTAAACTTGGTGGAGCTGCTATCTCATGGAAATCTTCAAAGCAAAGGTGTATAGCTCGACCAACTATGGAATCAGAGTTTATTGCTTTGGACAAAGCTAGTGAAGAAGCAGAATGGCTTTGAAATTTCGTAGAAGATGTTCCACGTTGGCCTAAGCCGATACCTGCCATAAGCATACACTGCGATAATCAATCGGCTATTGAAAGGGCTAAAAGCAGCATGTACAATGGTATGTCTAGACATATACGTCGGAGACATAATATCATTAAGCAATTGATCTCAATGGGCGTCGTCTCTATAGATTATGTGAAATCAAAGGAGAATGTTGCAGATCCGCTTACGAAAGGTTTGCCAAGAGATCAAATACGTTGCCTATTGAGATGAATGGGATTAAAGCCTACTACGTTAGAGTCCTTGTTATGGTAACCCTACCTTGTTGACTGGAGATCCCAAGATTTTGGTTCAAAGGGACAACTAAGTTATGAGGATTCCATGAAGCACTTAGGAAATAATTTCCTAACTCATTCCTATGATACCAAAGTGCTTTCTACAGAATTGGAAGAGGTTAAGATAACTTTTTAATGATTCCTATATCTTGATTAAGTCAAGTGGAGTAGGGCAGAATACTCTTAATAGGAGGTCACCTATGTGAGTGTGAAGTGAGACCGCTTCAATGAGAATTATTCAAGACTTAAATTCTCTAAAACACTTGCAGAACCAAGAGGGGTTCAGGGCTAAAATGAACCAAGTCATGAGAACCAAGAACGGAATTAGGGAAGACAATGTTTGAGTATCGTTGTCTTGGCTTACACTAACGGCTGGTCGGCTCAAGATATCACGTTCACCAACTAGCCAAGTAAGCTCGATAATATTTTACTAGGGAAGGTTCAAAGCCGGAAGCTACCTTGCCCGATGCAACATTTCTCCGCTCTCTCTCTACAATTGTATGTATCGTGTCGCATATCATTTGCATACTCGAATTTCCATTCATGTGGAGGATTGTTGGAAATTGGTTTCCCAATTAACATTAAAGATCGAAAATTGGTTAAGTAAAAATTGAAATCGAAAAGTGTGACTAACGTGTCAATTTTGGCCGAATATTTGGACTTGATCCGCTGGTCAAATTATAAAAGTAAAAAGGCCAACTTCTTCTACTCATCGAGTAGATGATCGTAG